GTGTAGTTACCTTTTTTAGATTATTAATCAAGAATAACCCTCATGTTATACCACATGTATAAAGAAGGTAGAAGAGTAAAACAATTTAACTAACCCAAGGCAAAAAACGACATTTTCTGAAATGTATAACTAATAAGTAAAATATGGATATTTTAATCATGAAGTATTTAAATTATTACTTTAATTTTTTATTTCACTTTGTTCATGAAAAGAAGACAAAAAGGACCATTTAAAGCAAGAGAATATTAAAATCACTATACACATATTTATGAAAGATATAGTCATAAAGGCATAAGGTTTAATTTCCCCAAAGGTAGAATACTTCAAGTAACCCTCTTTTCATAATCAGTTTTTCTTTCTGGTCATTTTGTTATACATATATATATATCCATCTTTAATAATAACACAAACATTTAGAATTTTTAACCCACCTGAATTTCAAAAAAATATATAACAAACATATTACCACTGACTGTAAGGACATGTATATAAGAAACACAAGATCTGGAAATAGTCCAATTGCCCACTGGAAGATGCGTGGATAAAAAGGCAGTGGTACATTTACACAATTGAATTGTACTTGGCCATAAAAAAGAAGAAAAGCTTATATTTTGCCACAACATGGATGAACTGGAAAGTATTATGCTAAGTGAAATAAGCCAGTCAAAGAAAGACAAGTACCATATGATCTCACTTATATGTGGAATCTAATCAACAAAATAATTTATCAAACAAAATAGAAACAGAAGCATAGATACACAGAGAATACTGACAGCTTTCAGAAGAGAGGGAGGTTGGAGAGTTGGGTGAGAGATGGTAAAGAAATTAAGCAAAAAATATTTATATGTCACATAGACACAGACAACAGTATTGTGATAGCTAGAGGGAAAAGGAGGTTGGAGGAGGTGGAAGTAGGCAAAGGGGGTATAAGTGGGGAAAGAAAAGGACTTGACTTTGGGTAGTAAACTCACAATGCAGTGTACAGATGATGTTTTGTTTAGTTGTACCCTTGAAACCGGTATGGTCTTATTAACCAATGTTACCCTAATAAATTCAGAAAGAAGACACATGTTTAAACTGCTCAGCCATATATTGGAATGACATAGAGAAAGAAAATGAAATAAAAATGTTCAGTTTTGTTCTGGCCAGGTTGCTCAGTTGGTTGGAGCATCTTCTGGTACACCAAAGGGTTGTGGGTTTGATTCCCAGCCAGGGCACATACCTAGACTATGTTTTCAATCCCCAGTTGGGACATGTACTGAAAGCAGCCGATGATATTTCTCTCTCCCTCTCCCCCCACTTCTTCTCTCTCTAAAATCAATAAAAATCATATCCTCAGGTAAGGATTAAAAAAATATTCAGTTTCATTGAAAAAGCTTTGGTATAATAAAAAAAAGTCACAGATTCTCATCAGGAAAGTACTTATTACTTTGTGAGTAGTTTATAGTTTACTTAATGATATATGCAGTATTCAAAATTAGTTCCATGCTTGTCTCATGGAATCTTTTTGAGCTTATTCAGAAAACAACTAGAGATAATATAATTGTAGAAATAAGAAAAGTATTTGGAGAGCCTAACAGACATCTTATGCCCCCTCCAATCAGGAGTTTCTATCACTCTACTGAAGCAGCTATAACAAGGTCAATACTTACCTCTATGTTGCTATATTTAATAAGCATTTAAAAACTTTTATCTTACTTGACCTACCTGCAGCATTTGAATCAGCTGATGACTCACTCCTACTTGAATTACTTTCTTCATTTGGCTTCCTGGACCTCTCTCTCTCTTGGTACTCAAACCCCAAAGCCATTCATTCTTAGTGTCCTTTGTTGAATCCTCATCTTCCCAGCCTCTAAACAGTTCAGTGGCCAAGGCTAGGCCTTCAAACCACTTCTCTTTTCTATCTAGTCTCACTCTCTTGGTGAGCTCATACTGTCTCATGGCTTAAATAACATCTACATACTGATGACTTCCAAATTTACATCTACAGCTCATACTTCTCTCTAAGCCAGTCTGCACCTAGATGACTAATAGGTATTTCTAACTTCATATGCCCAAGACTCAACTTCTGATTCCCTTCCTCCAAATCTGCTCTACCTGAGGGTTGGCAATCTCAGTTGCTCTTGCACAAACTTTGTATTACTGTCAACTCCTCTGTTTCTGCCACACCACATAGCCATTCCTTAAACAATTGCTGTGGGCTTTTCCTTTAAAATATATACAATTCAACCGGTTTTGATTATGTCACTGCTACCATTCTTGTCCATGCCACCATCATCTTTTACCCAGATTATTAAAATGGTTTCACAGTAGGTGTCCCTACATTTCCCATTTTCCTCCAGTCCATTTACATGACCTCTAGAGAAATCCTTTAAAAACTTGCCCGGCCGGGCATGGCTCAGCGGTTGAGCATCAACCTAGGATCCAGGCTATCAGGGTTCGATTGCCGGTCAGGGGACATGCCTCGGTCGCGGGCTCGATCAGTGACTCTCTCATCATTGATGTTTCTGTCTGTCTCTCTCTCCCTCTCCTTTCCTCTCTCTGAAATCAATAAAGATATATTTAAAAAAAAAAAAATCCTTTAAAAACTCAAGTCAGATCATGTGACTCTTCTGTTAAAAATTTTTATTTTTCTATTGTCTCACTTAGAATGAATGTCAATGTACTTGTAATGGTTTTAGAGACACGATATGATCTGATAAGTTTGTGCCTCTTCTCTAATTGCATATGCTTTTATCACCCTTGCTTATTGTACTCTTGGCACACTGGCTTCCTTGCCATTTATTATACATCAAGCACACCAAACTCATTTATGTGTCAGGAATTTTGTTCTTGCTGTTTTATTTGCCTGGGATTCTCTGTCCCAGATATTCATATGGCTTGCTTTTTTAACTTTTTTAGATCACTGTTCAAAGTCAGCTCCTCAACTAGACCTTCCTTGATGACTCTATGTAAAATAGCGACCACAATCTCCAGAAATTTCTATCCCTTTGGTTTGTATTAAATTTTGCCCCATAGCATTGATAACTATATAATAGACTATGTATTTCTTTATTTTGTTTATTATCTTTCACACTTCTTATAGAATGTAATCTCCATGAGGGCAAAGATTTTTATGGTTTTATTTCATAGCTATATCCTGTACAGTTTTTTGTGCCCTGCACAGCTCATTGGTGATCTATTGTCATAAGATTTGATATACTTTGTGTTTTGGTGGAGATGCAGATAATGCAAAAGCCACTGAGTTTTCTTAAGTCCTGATATGTCAGCACTAGCCAGTATTTTCAAGGTTCTGTTGTCATTTAAAATGTTTTGTGTTTAACTTATTTATTTACATATTTAAAATATCTGTGGTTTTAATTTAACTAAAGGTTTAGTAGGTGTATTTGTTTCTTATTGCTGCTGTAACATATACCAGAAAACTATTTGCTTAAAAAAATGAAAATTTATTAGTTTATGGTTCTGGAAGTCAAAAGTCCAAAGTGGTTCTTTTGAGGGTAAAACCAAGGTGTTGTCAGGGATGCATTCCTCCTGGAAGGCTCTTGAGAGGAATCTGTTATCTTGTCTTTTCCAGCTTCTAAGTGGCTGCCCACATTCATTGGTTCATTCCCACATCAATTCAACATCTGCTTTCTTCTTCAGATCTCTTTCTGACTCTCCTTCCTCTCTTTATCCCTCATAAAGACCCTTGGATTACATTGCACACATCTGGAAGATTCAGGATAATCTCATGATTTCAAAATTTTTAATTTAACCACATCTTGAAGTTAGCATATTCACAAGTTCAGTGTTTAAGATGTAGGCACTTTTGAAGGGTCATTATCCTACTTAGGGTTGAATTTTTAATGGAATAAATTTAAAGTGATGATAGCAAACACGTCAAAATTTAAGCAAATAATGAAATCATTCCCAAGGTAAAATATATGGATCTTAATATGAGGTCTTTAGGTATAAAAGTAAAAATTTTTCATGTTGTTTATAATTCTGCCAGTACCGTTAAAAGAATATTCTCAAAAACTAGTCCACAAGTTCAGGTTTTCATCTTAGCAAAGAAGGAAATGCAGATACTTATGAAAACTTGATTTAAAACATTACCAGGTCTTTATTAAATAGCATACTGGTTTGTTACTTGTCTGGGATGAAAGTTCAAGGGAATTTTATTTGCTCTAAACCTTGGCTAATCCTGAATATAAACGTAAGGGTATTTGTTCTTCCCTGTGTTATTATAGACATGAAAATCCTCTGTATTTACTTTTATAGTCAGTAAAAATAAAAAGCTGAAGGTGAGGACTTGGATGAATTGCCTAGGGAGAGTGAAACTTAAGTGAGAATTGATTACATTGGCCTCTTGGGCTTTCCAAGAGGCCAAACATCTAACTGAGACAATTCTTACCTCCTTCCAAGGGTGAGTTTTATACTCCCATTTACCCACTGGAATGAGTAGAAATTCAAGAAAGCTGCTACTAGATACTATGAATGCAGTGACTGGGAAAATGATGAGACAGGACTATGAGGGGTTATTTTTCCAGTTTCTCCCACCTACCTATTTCTTCTTTCTAGGTTCTTCCCTCATTGGTCTTTCCTAGCCTTTGCATTTCTCATTATTACAATTTTTCCATTGGATTAATACATTAGGTTTCCATAAGTCAGCCTATATACAGCCTGTGTGGAATTAGCATATAGACATGGAACTTTAAGATATATTAATCAAGTTAGTCTTTGATTCACTGTGGAAGGTCCTGAGAAAACAAAGCAATAAAATCTTATTTGATGTACTTATAGAGAAAAAAAACTTATGATGGAGACTTGCTGAAAGAGAATAATTTTAAATTGGGTACTACAAGGAAGGGATTCTAAGGCATCCACCCAAGCTGTTTTTGTCATGATTTAAAAAAATGGCATCATTGAAAGTAGGTAGAGAATATTGCATAGCAGGAAGACATCGCATATTATTTTTCCCATTATTTCATTTGTTCTTTTATATTTGGCCATGAAAGAGGATGGATGAGATGAGACTGAAAGGTATTCAGGAGAATCTTAAAGGTCTTAAGAAAGTAAGTTAAATGAAACATCTTTGCAAGTCTCTACTGTTTCAGACAACTTACTACGACATCCATGTTTATTAAATTCATACACAGAAGAGATCTCAAAGATGATTCTGAAGACATTGATTCTATGACATCACATGGGATAATTTAAATACAACAGTAGAATTGCATTTTTAATTTCTGTAAATATTATACAGATACTGACATAACAATGGTTAAATTTTTGTCAGCCTATCATATTATGTACATCCATGTTATAGAAATTATCTTTAAAATTCTGTATATTGATGCTGTAGCAAATCCTTCTGTTGATGAATTTCTTGGTTGATAAAATATGTCTTAATTAACATATACCACTTTATTATTATGTCAAACATATTTTTAAAGTATATATTGCTGAACATATCATTTTTGGTTTTTTAGTATATCACTTGATAAATTTCATTTAAAATTTTATGTGATACTTTTATAACTGTCATGTTTTTAGTACTTACACACTTATTTTGCTCTCTTATTCTTGACACTCAGTGGTTTGGCTGTGTTTATAAAAACACTAAAGATCTTAATGAAAACGGAAGGATATATTAGTCTGTTTTTCAAATGTCTCTAGAGCTTTGAGACAATGACATTAAATAGGAACATCACTTAATAGAAATGACTTAGTCTCAGAGAGCTCTTTTCTTTTACCCTACATCTTACAACTCCATCTGGCACATAATAGGTTCACAGTTAATGTTCATTGGGTAATTAAAGGAAAAGGTCTTATTTCTTCTTACTCCAGTAACCTTAACATCAGCTACTTATTTTTAACAAATAAATGAGTAATATCAGTCAGTACTCCAAGGAATGGAATGACTATGCTTCTCTTTTTCCTTCTCTCTCTCTATTCTCTTTTATTTTTTACAAAAATGCTTTTGATTTCAGAGGCATCAATTTTTTTTGTATTTTTTCACACAAGTCAGACCCTTTTTTCAAATGCTCCTTTTTTTTTTTTTTTAACTTTCAGCTCCAATTATATTGATAACCCCTATGCCTCACCATTTTCTTCTTTTATTTATTCAACACATATCTATTAAGCTCCCATTGTATACAAGAAATTGGTCAAGGCACAAATATAAACAAAACATATGTAATCTTTGTTGTCATGGATTTGATGTTCAAATAGAGGGAGACTGAAAATTAGCAAATAAATAAATATTTATACTAAGTTAATCTGTTGGGTTGATATGTGTATGTCACCCCAAAAGATATATTAAAGTCTTAATCCCCTGTATGTATAAATATTGGTAAAACCATCTGCAGATATAATTAGGTTAACTATCTTAAGTTGGGATCATCTTGGGTTGGGCAGGGACAATGTCTAAATCCAATGACAGGTGTCTTTATAAAAAAAGAGGAAGGCACAGAGACACAGAAAGAAGGCCATGTGAAGGAGGCTGAAATTGGAGTTATGAAACCCCAAGCCAAGGAATGCCAAAAGTTTTGGGTAACACATGAAGGTGAGAGAGAGGAGGCATGGAACAGATTCTCCTTCAGAGCCTCCAGAGGGGACTGATTCAACCAACACTTTGATTTTGAAGATATGGCTTCCAGAACTATGAAAGTACAATTTTTTGTTGTTTCAACAACTGATAGTATGGTAATTTGTAGAGAAGCCTTAGAAAACTTGCCTAATTGAGATGCTGAGAAACACTATTGAATAAAAAAAAAATAGAAATGGAAGTTAGAGATTGTGAGGGTATGGTAAATAATTGCAAATTTAAATGTGGGGATATGTGACATTTGGTCAAAATCTAGAAGAGGTAAGGAACCAAGCCATGCAAATATCTGGAAGATATTTTCAAATGCAAAGAGCAAGGGGCCAGAACATGACTATGAATTCAAGGAGCAGCAAGAATAGTGTGGGTGGGCCAGTACGAGTAAGAGCAGACAGAAGAAAACAAGATCAGTAGCTAGCCTGAGGCTGCTTCATAAGGGTGTCTTATAGGTGCAGTTATATACAATGAGATGTGACTTGTTAGAAGGTAATGCACAGTGAAGTAATATTATAATTTAGTTGCTGTACTGAACTATGATTTTATTTCTTCATGGAATTTATAAAAAGTTAAAGCAAACCCTCTTATGCCTAAATGTTGATTGTCAGTCAGGGTAATCATATTTACTATGGACTAACAAGAAATAGATGCTAGAATTTATAGAACACTAATGATAGTGTACTATTCTAATTGCTGTGCACAAAGACTGTTTAATCCTTAAAACAGCCCCATAAAAGAGGTGTTTTCATTCTCTTTTTAAGGATGAGGAATCTAAGATTCAAGTAAGGTAACTAACTTGTACAAGGTTTTAGAACAAGTTAGCTTGCACAAATGGCATTTGAATTCAGGTCTGTGTGAAACTAAAGCTTATGTTTGTAAATTCTGTGTTATTTTTACCTATCTACCCAAAATATATATGTAATTTACAAAGTAAAAACCAAATTGATTAGGTATTTAAAACTTAGAAAACAATCTGAAGGGTTTCAACTAGAACCTTTTATCTTCTTATGTCCCTTGTAAACCCCTATTTGACATATTATTTAATTACATTAGGCTCAAGGTAAAACATGCAGTTTAAGAAATAACAGCTGAAAAACCTTTGCTATTAAGTTCATTTCTTCAATCACCGTATCCAGTCAACACTGCAAGGAATTGCGTTCTCCCCTGACATTCAAAAGGATTTCAACATTCCTATCTCATCAGTCTCAATATTGTTTCTATGTACGTATATAATGAATGTGCATTTCTTTGATTTTAAAATTTTAATATTATTTTATTGACTTGAGAGACAGAGAGAGAGGGAGACAGAGAGAGAGAGAGACACTGATAGGTTGCCCCAAGTATGCCCCCCAATCAGGAATAGAACCCAAAACCTGTGTATGTGCCCTGACCAGGAATCGAACTGGCTACCTTTCAGTACACAGGACAAAGCTCCAACCAACTGAGCCATACTGGCCTGAGATAAATGTGCATTTCTTTTCAAATAAAACTCCATGAGTACAATAAATAAATTATTTGATTTCCTCAATACATTTTATCAGAAAGTAATATGTGAAAATATTTTTTTAAATTTATGAAATGTTTTCTCAAAAATATAGATAATTCATCTTTACTTTTTTCTCTCACTTTAACTAGTCCTTAAAGACCACTTACTATAAAGTCTGTTATGAAATAAACTGAAGAGATTTTAATCTAGCTTCTGATGTTTAGAAAATCTAATAGAGACATAGTTGTGATGTTGGTGTTGTGTTGAGGCTTTTGTTATTTTTTATTATAATGTCATAATATGCAGCTCTTTCCCAATGCACTAATGCAAAAATAACCAGTGCTAATTTTTCTACCCTTTGTAAATTAACTCCAATTTTAAAATTGCATTTTTATATCTGCTTGTTATTCCTTTTGCTTTGGTCAAGGTAAATTTGCTCTAAGCTGATCATTGGAATTGGTCAGGATAGGAGTGCAGTAATATAGGTCACACCTCTTGTTTTGCCTACATTTTTTCCCAGTCGTATTTCAGACAGCTAACGTCTTTCTTTTCTTACTGATTCTATTTATTATTTTTCCATTCTTACTTATTTAGATTACTCTCTATTCCTCCATTTACTCTTTGTTTCAGGTTCTTAGCTGAGTGATGTAGATTATAGACTAATCAGGTCAAAATATTTTCTTAGCATGTCATTGGAGATTCCTAGAAAAATCTATTGAAGAATTATATATGTCATTATTATATAAAGGGCTTTATTACAATCATAATGCATATTCTGTGGCTTCTTACAAAAAAGAAATTAGGTTTATCAGTACCTTAGTTCAACACATTTTTTAGACTATAAAAATAATCTTAAGTCAGTTCATTACTGGTGTATTGATATCAACTTAGGAAATGCAGATGTGTATGTTCTGCAAGCAACATTAATGAATGTTTTTAAAATGGATAATTAGTAAGTTTTTTGTGCTGAAAACCAATTTTAATTAATAACTTAAACAGTGTACCTTCATGGTTGTTTTTTATCTCTTTTATATTGAATTTACACTTACAAACCAGCTTCTCATAGTAACAATGAGGCCCCTATTTGGGCATGTTTATGTTACCAATAATTCAATATAAGTCGCAACTTTGAAAAACTCAGAGGACTTTCTTACAGAACAGTTTTCTTTTTAATATAAAATCTATTAAGACTTTGTTTCTACCTAGGATGTGAATTTTGATTGGAGATGAAAACATCAATTTTCTAAATTTTTAACATTTCTTCACCAAATACTCAAGTTGGGAGGAAATTTCTTCTTGTGCCTTATGATATGAATCTTGAGTTCATAATTTAAATAATAAAATAGGATTTTTCCCTCTCCCTGTCCACACTTGAACCTAATGTCATGATATTAAGAGACGATAGGCATATAATTCTTTAATTCATGACTTGTAATTTCTTTTTAAAAAAGAAATCTAATTCAAAATTTTTGTGGCTACCAGCTCCTTGTCAAAGCTTTTGGCTTTGTGTTTAGTTTGGAAAGTGAACTATAAAAGATAAAACTATAAATTCATAAGTCCATTCTATATTTATATAATTGGTGTCATCATTTTGATGTCTGAATGATAGCAAGCTAGAATAGACACACATGATACAATTATAATTAATTATAGTTAAGGGTAGACCTATTTAATATTTAGGAATTACCAATTCAGATTTTAATATGTAACTGAAAGAGATTTTTCATTTGACATGTCATTAGAAAGACTAGAAAGACTTTCTGCAAGCAAAATTGCAGACTAATGGTAGGGATAAAAACATTATTTTGTATGTGTGTTCTGGAGAAAGATTAATTCATCTTCACCATAAATTGTGGTTGTGAGTGGGTGATATTAGTACTATTGATATACAGCAGATCTCTCTTCATGATGGCATCTCGTTTATATACAGTAGAACCTGTATAATAATTTTTTAGTAGAGACCAGAATTATACCAATAACCTAAA